ATTTATGTCACTAAGTAAAAGTAAAATGTTGAAAGAACAAAAAGAAAAAAAGCGAGCTAGTGAAGGTGAAACCACATTTCTACAATAATTCTCTTTCTTTGTCATTCTATATTAATTAATTGTCACTTTTTCTTTTCTTTTCTTTATTCGTCGATATTTAAAAACTATGAACCGATATAATAATATGAACAAAATTTAAAACAAAAAAAAAACGCAAAAGAAAAGCAATCGTTTCTTAGCAAAATTTTTACATGTCAATTTTATATGATAAAAGAAAGAGAAAGACGAGGAAAAAGAAAAATAAGCAATTATATATACAACAGAACTCTCATTTTTTCCTCTTCTGCTTAAGTTTTTTCACACTAGTCTCAGCCGTGTTTGAAAAAGAAAGTGCAAAGAAATCGAATACTTGTAGGTATGTTGAAACAAAGGAATGTGAAAGTCAAACTTTCACTAGTGATATCACTTATCAGATATTCATATACACACATAAACCACTTACTAAAACCTCACCATGTTTTTCAGCGAAGACAGACGAACTATTTTCAATCATGTAGGATTCTATATTTATATCTATGAGAATTTCATTCGAATAAATTTTTATTTGAATTTTCAAAGAAAATGGCTCGTCGACAAGATCGTAAAGTAATTAAAATTGAAGCAGCATATGGTTCCGATCGACAAACATTTATTGTTAAACGTGATTATGATTTACGTGTACGTGATGTTCAAGAAGATGCAGCCAAAGTATTTAAAATGCCGCTTGAGGAAATAATTCTTTATTGGAAGGTAAATTAAATATTTAGAATTTAGAATAGTTCTATAAAATTTCATTTTAGGGACGAAATATTTGTAATACACCAAATGAACTACTAGAAACATTGGGTATTGAAAATAATCATCAAATGCGTGTTTGTCGTGAAGATGATCCAACACAACAAAATAGACGACGTGAATTACTTTCTAATACAGCACCCAATCAACAAAATGTACCATCAAATGGTACGTATAACCCTCAACAACAACAACCACCACCACCACCGCAACCACAATTATATAATCAATATCAACAGCAACAACAACCACCACCACCCCCACAGCAACAATACGGCACTAGCCCCCCACGGTAAGCTATTGAAATAGAAAGATTTTTTTTCTATTATAAGAGCAAAAGTGAAGTACACTTATCTTATTCAATAAAAATAAAATTGAAGACAAATAAAAGACATTTTAAAGTACTATACGTTAAAAATAGAAAATAATAATATTATTATTTATTTTAGTTCTAATGATTATTACCAACAATTTTCAAATCAAAATATACCACCAGCTGTTCCCACAGTATTTCTTCTTAATTTACAAATTGGTCTTGGTGATCGAGCTGAAGGTATTGTTATTGGTCGACCATATCCATCAACAATTTATGATTTACAAATTGAATTACAACAACGTTTTGGTATACCAATAGCTGAACAAAATCTTTCTTATAATGGAACATTATTAGCACAATATCCACCTGATACTCCACTTGATTCAATTGGAATTGTTAATCATTCATTTGTTTCACTTTGGACTAGAAGTATACCAACAAATAATCAACAGCAACAACAACCACCAACACCATACTATGGTGATGGACCTCAGTCAACATATAATGGCGGAAATTCACAAGATTTATCACCAAAGTAAGTGAAAAAACAAAAGTGAATTAAATATTAATGATTACTTCCTATAATTTAAAAGACGAATGGACAATACAAATAACAATGATGTCCCTCAAAATGGTGGTAATCCGGACGTACTTAAAATTGAAGTTTTTCATGGTAAAAACATCTATTTTCTTATTGAAAAAAAACAATTCATTGATATAAATTGTTTCTATTTAAGGTTCCGATCGGCATATTCTTATTTTACGTAGTTCAAACAATCTACGTATTGTAGATTTAATGGAAGAATTACAACGTATAACAACTGTTCCAGTTCAAAATCAAAAACTTTATTATCGTGGTCAAGAATTACAACCATCAAAAGATCGTACATTACGTGATGCTGGCATTGATAATAATGCTCAAGTTAGATTAATTGGTGATCCAGCGAGAGCACGATATGAACCAATGATTACTGGCAATCGACCTAATTAAATTCGATTAAATTATAGAAAAAGACAAATCTCATTGAATATATCATATTTTTTTTTTCTAATTATGTTACCAGTCTATACGCTTTATTCATAATATTCATTCGTTTTGTAAATAAAAAATATAACGGGTAACAATTTTGAACTTTTCAAAAAAAATGATTTCACCAATATAAAATTTTTCTAACGCGCCATTATTTTTTAACTAATTATCAAATAAAATCATGACATCAATCAATAATAAATCACGTTGTATTAAATTACAAATTCAATATGGTTCAGATCTTTATGAACTTTTATTATCGAGTAAAGATAATAAAATTCAAGTTGAACAGGTTTTAAATGAAATCGAAAAACTTACTAAAATACCTAAATGCCATCAAACTCTTATATACAAAGGACAACGTTTAGATCATAAACCAAATGAAAATCTTGAAGATCTTTATATATTTAATAATAGTAAATTAATATTAAGTAAAACACAAAGATCATCTCATGATCAATGTGATTATCTTAATCTCTCATCACAAAAACAACAAAATAATACGGATCTAATTGGTTTTACACCTGAACCAAATAAGAATTATGAGTAAACGATTTTATATAAACAGAATAATTAAAATACTTATTTCTTAAAGATATTACACAGTTCCATACAAAACTGATCCAACAACTCTCTTACAAAATATTCATTTATCGTAGGAAAACATGTTTACCTGTTCTTTTCCGTAACACAGATGTACGAGGTTTTTGATTATTACGCATATAAGTCCATAAATATTCAACTATAAACAAAAAAAATTCTCTAATAAATCATAAATATTAACAAAAAAAACCAAATACCTTCATTGATTGTTTTAACACAATCATTGCATGCACGATCTTCTTTACTATCATCATGAATTAATTTAACTTTCTGCCAACAACATGTTGAACAATAAACTTTTCCACATGCACGACAATGATGACGACGACGAGTTATTGAAAATTTACTTGCACATTTCATACATACAGGTGCGAGATCATCGCTTACCCATTGAGGTGCAACAGAACCAAGATGTTTTTCTTCTTCAGTTAATTTCGCCCATTCTTGTTCGACACGAATTAATTCTTCATCGATAGGTACTGATGATGACGCTGCACCGGCTACTAATTCTGGTGATGGTGGTCGTTCTGAAGTAGGAGGAGGAGACAACGATGATGGTGGTGGACAAGATTCAATTTCATTCGACGTTGATGTTGGTATATCATCTGTTTGTTGGGAATCAATAATCTGTTTAAGTAAATTATCTACTCGATCAATTTCAGCAGGAGTTAATTGATGAATATCACCATCAGATATATCAACACTTGCAAGCATTTCATCAAGAAAACGAAAATCTTCATTATCATTTGTTGTTAATGATGCTGGTGGTGCAAGAATATCTTGTTGTTCAATATTAATCATTTCTGGTTCTTTTTCTTCAATAAGACTTTCATCAAGTATTTCTTCATCTGGTTTATCAAAAATTTCTGATAAAATATTTTTAACAAGATCAAAATCTTGTATAGGTGCATTAGTTGTTGTTGTTGTTATTGCAGAAGGAGAAGGAATTGGTGAATTAGCTATAAATTCTTCAGATATTGATTGAACTGGTTCTTCATCATTATCATTGCATGAAGTAAAAACAAGTTCAGAAGATATTTGAAGTGATTCAAGATCAATTTTTGGTGGATTAGGAACAACAAAATCCTATTGAGAAATATATAATTTTATTACAATAGAATAATTATTATTTACTTTAACATCATGTACTACTGATGCATTAACAATACTATCAACACTATGTAATACTGTTGTTGGTGTCTCACGTTGAATAAGATCAGGTTCATTTTGAAATAATAGATTATTTGATACTGGTGTTGTTTCAATTATAGATTCTGCTGTTGATTGTTCTTCCGTATCTTCTTCATTTGAAGATAATGATCTGGATAGTAAAATAGTTTCATTCTTATTATCTAAATTACTATTTGTGAGTGTAGTTAAATCAGGTAATAATAATGGTGATTCAAGAGTATGATGTAAAATTTCTTCACGCACTTCGTTTTCAAGCTGCTCAACAGCTAATGGTAATGATGTAGATGATAATTCTTCTTGTTGACCAATAATATCAGGTAATGTTGGAGTTGGAGGTAATATTGTTGATGAATCAATCACAGTTGATGTTGCATATAATTCTTCCAAATCTTGTTTAAAACGATCTAGTTTATCATCATTTTCTTGATCAACATGATTTTCTGTATTTCCCAAAGGATCAAGATCGAGTAGAAGTAATTCATCAGCTGATCTTCTAGAAGTATTGTGAAAAGGGAGAGACTCTGAAGGTAATGTTTCAATAGTTTGATTTGTTTCTTTCTCTTCAAAATTCGATTGATTGACTATAAAAGAGAAGAAAACATTTAGAAAATAAATAAAAGATAAATATCTTACGCGTCTTTTCTAATTGATCAAGAACAGCATCAATATCGAAATCCATCTCAATGAAGAGATGAGAAATATCTAAAGAAAATTCTATCAAATTACAATTTTCTAAATAATAATCAATTATTCCGATAAAATCTAAATGAAAATTATTTAATCAAAGAATATTTGTTTAAAATATTAAAAAAAAAACATGACTAGGAAATTTGAATACCACATATAGTATTAAGTAAAAAAAATGTAGATAAGTAAATGCCAATGACAGACAAAAACAGTAGATTGAATGAATGAGTCACATTCTTTCTTTTTTTTATCAGCTGTAAACTTAAGTATTATTAAATGAATATATAACAAGAAGTTATATTTTTCTATTGAATTAAAAGATTAATTTAACATAGTTTATCGATTTATGTTGAAGAATTTTTTGTCAAAAATCAAAATCAAAATGGCGGTTGAAGAATTTTTTTCTAATCGGCTAATGTTTCCAACCAATAAGATATTTAAATAGAATAGTATATACGATAAATTTTTCTTTATTATTATTATAGATTGACATATACGTAGTTGTGATAGTCCACTGAATAGAATAATCAATTTTTTAGTTTATAATTTTTCAATATCGTTAATAATATTAAGATTAATCAATCTAACTACGATTATTTTTATAGTGTGATCTATAGAAGTGAGAGAAAAAAATATATCTATTTGATTTTCGAAAATATTTTATTTGTATTTCTAATTATAGATAGATTGAAAAAACGTTTTCTTTAGGTCAAAAAATATGTATGAACTGGAAATAAGCGACATATTAGTTAATAAAAAATTTTATAAGTAATATTTAACTTTTTTTTTATTAAATCTATTTTCGAATTGTTTTATATAAATATTTTTATAATTATTTTATTATAATTGTATTGTTACGGAAGAAATTAAAATGCGAGGTGGTTTTTAATTCTATTTTTTATTGGTTATTTTGTTTAACCAACCTATGTTAGTTCTATGGTCAATTTTTCTCCTTCATTGTGCGTAGATACATTTGTATATAACGTTATGTTGTATTGTATTATAGTCCTTCATCAATGAGGCACAATAGATAATAAAACTAATGTTCATCAATCATATAATAGTTCGAATGTTATCAATAGACTATCAACGGTTATTTTATAAATATTTTGATAGAGATTTAACACAAAAAAAAGATAAATGTAATCCGTTTATCTTACATAAATAGATAGAAAGTTGTGTTAAATAAAGTGAATTTTTAATCTAAATGATCAGTTTGTTCAGTTTATAAATGTTCACATAATCATACGTAATTGTAGTTTTTTTTCTTCTTCTTGTGTGTTATCACTTGAGTAAACTTCTAGCACGTTTCTATTTTCTTGCGTAAATAGTAATTAATCTCTTTCTTCTGAATTTATACTATAGAGAACAGTTGATCTAAAAATTACTTCGCCATCTGGCAAATGTCATTTATTTGTGATATACGTTACACTATTAACGTACGTTCATTGAATTGTTATTGATTAATCTTCTGTGTGTATGTCCATCTGTGTCATTTACATTCTTTCTTCTTCTTCTTTTTTCTATTAATTGTCACCATCGTTATTATTTTTTCTATTGTATATAATTAAACGAAGGTTGCTTAGTACCCAATTTATATGTACTTATTTGTAAAGTAAGAAATAACGATATGAAACCATATGAAAGCAAGAGATTTTTTTTCATGCTCTTTAGTACAATTTAGACCATTGCTTCTTTTATTTATTCGATCAATCGCCGCCATCCCTCCTCTTTCATTTGCTTTTCGTTCTCTCTCTCTCTCTCTGTCCCTCGTTCAATTTGATGTGCACGTTTGCCCTTCATCAAAGCTCCCTCCCCCACTTGATTATTGCATTAGTTAACATTTTGAGGACGGAATATGAGTGTGAAAGAAGCATAATACATACACATAGAAATAAAAAATGATCTTATGTAATCCGTTCTTATTCGCAAATTGTCTAATGTGCATATACGTCTGTTCAAAGCACATCTCATCTTTTCTTCTGCTCCATCGCACGCTTAAAACTTGAACACTCATTATTCTTCACCATCGTAGTCTATAAAAAAAATTTATACATATACATATATATACACATTCATTTTTTTAAAGGTTTCACACTCAATATGTGATATATACTAAGTTTAGTAAGAAAAGTCTATACAGGAAATGTCTAATATCTGGTGAGAAGTCAGTCAGCATGTGTTGATTTTCTAATGATATGTGTGAATGTACAAAATACATGCAGACGGATCATTTGCATAAATGTCAGAGACAAAAAGAAGAGTTCTACTTTGATTTTTTTTTCTCCTTTCATTCCTTCTCTCTCTCTCTCACCCTCTCTCTATTTTTTTCTGTTTCACTCTAGAAGATTAATCATTCATTGATAGAACGACGACGACGACGAACGCCATTGTCGACAAAATGGCATCATCGTTGCTACTATTTTTATTCAATGGTAAGTCGAGATTATTATTCTTTTCTTTAAATATAAGTGCATACACTAACATAAGAATCTCTTAACTTGGGATTAATCATTCGATTGTTGTATCAAATTCTCAAGAGAAAAGCCTAACGATAAATATATTTAATTCTTATTCGGAATATTAAGAAAAAGGAAGAAGCACGTAGACAGAAACAAAAAATTCTATTATATCATAAGAAATATTTGCATTTTATTTATACATATATGCATTTATAAAAACGAACGTGCTTTTATTTAAGTAGAATTATCTTCCTTTGAGACAAAAAAGAAAAGAAATAACATATTTCTTTGATCTATTTAATAATGATCTATTGTCGGTTGAGTAAGTAAATCTACTTCCGATCATCTTCTTTATATTATGTTTTGGTTCATTAATTTTTAATGAAAAAAAGAATTTTTAATTTTTTCTATTTTAGTTTGTCTTTTATTTACTTCCATCGCTATTGTATTAGGAACATCTGATTTATCAAAACGTGCTATAAATGAAAATCCAATTGTTGAATTATCTGTTTATCCAAATGCAGGTGTTTCAACTGAAAATATTCAAGTTCGTTGTCAAATAACTCAATTATCATTAATGAAATCTCCATTATCATCATCAAAATTTGATAATGTTTATTTGTCAGTTAAAACAGATACTGTTAAACCATCAGGAATTGTTCTTATGTTCGATGATAGTAGTGATGGTTGTCGATTAAATCGAGAAAATATTCGTATTGATGTATGTAATGCATCGCTTATACTTATTCATATTAATCATACAATACTAAATGAAACACTTCAAAAAATAGATTATTCATGCTCAAAAGGAACTACTTACGCATATAGTTCATATCGAATAATAAGTAAATATTATTCTTTCTAAAGTGAAAAGCAAAAAAAAAAACCAAAATTTTAATTTTATTTTTAGAAGATCAATCAGCCCGTTATTATGATCCAACATATAATTCATCATCTACTTTAACAGCAAACACTTATTTTTTATTATTATTTGTTTGTTTTATAACACAAATAATACGTTTAACAACAAGAAGAATTCAATGATCATAAAACAATTAAATACATACATGTGTGTTTCATTCTGTGATAAAGATCATTCGTTACTTATTTTATGCATTGAAATATTCACATGATAACACACAGATATTTTTTTTTTCATTTTGTTTATTTCTACTTTTATATATACATATTATATATTATCATCATCATCTTAGAAAGATATTGAACATAGTTCATTCCAGAATTTTCTTTTGTAATCATTAAACATCTTGTTTTTGTTTTTGAAACTGATAACTGAGAATGCAGATATTATGAATTATTATAAGCATATCTATACTTCTTGCTTTTGTTTTTCTTCCGGTACTTATTTCTTCTCGTTCTACACCTTATGTATGTGAATGACTGCTTTTTTTTGTTTGTTTATTTGAAATACATCATCATCATCATCTTTAATAGATAGATAAAGCAGATTTCTCCACTTTTAGATAGCAATTTTATTGTCACAATATGAACATAATTTTCAAGTATTTTTTTCCTAATTCTACAACACATGCTGATCCATGTGGTTTTGTTTATATCTAAATGCAAAAGAATTCGAGTACAAGAACATCACGTAGAAAAAATCGTATCACGTACTGGAAATCAAATAAAAATTCCTGTTTTTTTTCTGATTATATTTGTTATTATTTATAAAATAAATAAATTTTATTCTAATTGTTTTTATTTTTAATTAGGAGAAAAACAGAAATTCGATAATATTTAGAATTTTAGATCTGTGATATTTTTTCCCTGCGCTGGTGTGCGCATTGGAAAGAAAACGTTTTTTTTCAGCAACGATGTTAATTAACGAAAAAAATCTTGATCAAATAATAGATACGATTCGAAAACTTCATCAAACAACAATTGATCAACGATTGGTTGATTTAACTGATTATTTAACTGAATTTTTGCAATCTATTCAAGTAGAACAATCAAATATATTTCGTACATTAACGCAACTTATACGCAATTCAGAAGACCGTACAGCATTAAAAATTGAATTTCTTAAAGCACAATGTTTAGAAATCATCTATGCAAAAGTAAACAATAACGAAAATGAAAATAATATTATCGCCATTTTAGAATTTATTATTGAACTTTTAAATAACTCGGAAAATGTTCAAGAAAAATTTCTTCATTTTAATGGTTATGAAAAATATTTTAAATTACTTTCTTATATTCATTCACCAACAATTGAATTCATAAATCAATTAATTGTTCTTATGATTGAAAAATCTACATTACCAAATGAAGATATAATCATATTTCCGATTGATTCATTTGTTATTTTTACTAATCCACATATTGCTGTATCATTATTATATTGGATACCATATTTGAATGATATATCACATCAATGTCATATTATTTCTTCAATTGAGAAAATTATATTACGTTCATTACAAAATAAAATGATGGCTTGTTCAAATAGAATTATTTTTACTCTACTTGATGTATTAAAAATAAATAATAATGAAAAAGCGAATAAATTAGATGAAAAAATTCTATTCAATATTTTTTCATTATTAGAAAATTTATCTCGATTTTCAATAAATGCACAAGAAATTCGACTTATATGGCAATTATTTCATCAAAATACATCATTAAAAACTCAATTATTACAATTATTAATAACAGCAGCGAAATATGATGATCCAGATACACAATCGATTTCATCTTATTTTGATTTACAACGACCAAATAGTGTAAATAAATAAAAAACTTATTTTGAAATTTATGATTAATTTTATTTATACATTAGGGAATTATTTTGCCTGTTATTCATCGTTGGTCATCATTATCATCATCACCATCATTATCAGCAACAACATCTTCATCATCGCCATCATCTCCTCATTTTTCATTTCATTGTTGGTTAAAATTGAATCATGAAATTGGTTCTTATCCATATGGAGGACGTCGTCAAATCTATTCATTCTATTCTCAATCGATTGGTTTAGAATCATTTATACGTAGTTCATCAATCACTGTATTGATAACTGATCATCGTGAAATTGCTTATATTGAAATAAATGATTGTGATGATTTATTTGATGGTTATTGGCATTCATTAACTATCGTTCATACAGCACAACGTCCGTCCTTATTTGGTTCAGCATTTCAAACAACATTATGCTGTAATTTAACAATCTATATTGATGGTTCATTGAGAAAAGAAATAAAAAATTTTAAATATGTATCAAATATAAATGATCCAATTACTTCAGCTTCAATTGGTTCATCAAGTCAACGACCAAAATCACCTGAAATCAAACAAAAAAATGAATCATTATCAACAACACTTGTAAAAACAATTCAACCATTTAAAGGTTTATTTACATCACGAGCAAAACCTACAAACATACGTAAAGAAAATCAAGGATTCTATTCACAAAATGTCATGATTATTGAACCTGAAAGTCAAGAAGCAATATTTGGTCAATCAATTTGTTTATATGGACAAATAGCATGTATTTGGATATTAACTGAAACATTAGATGAACAACAAGTTAAACAATTATATGAAATGGGTGGTGATTTTTGTCATCAATATCATTCTTCAATGCTTAATAACGATACTTCAATATCTTCAGTAATATTTGATTTAATTTCTACACGTTCACTTCTACTCTATCATCCATTAGCATGTAATGGTCAAATTTGTATTGATATATCTAGTTGTTCTACACAAATAAATGGTCGACTTATAAATGGTTCATGTTTACGTCTTTATCCATTTTCTGAATCACTTGTTAATCTAGGTGGTTGTCCTATACTTTACCCATTAATTGAATTATTTCAAGAAAATGATTCGAATAATATATTATCTTATGATCAAACTAAAACATCAGATAATCGTCATAATCATTTCTATTCAAATCCAATTGCATCAATAATTTATTTAATTCGTTGTATTTTATCTTCAAAATCAATGATTATTTTAACTGAACAAATAGCGCAACATTATAATATTGAAATCTTAGGTGAATATTTAAATCATATATCATCATCATCTTTTATTGATCAACAATTATTAATGTCAATTGAAGAATTAATTGAATCAAGTCGATCTATAAACTCCTTACAATTATTAACTATTCAATTAATTCAACATATTTTATTTAATTTTACTCTATGGAATAAATCGAATTTTCATGTACGATTATTACATTTACAATATATATTAAAAGTTATTAAAGAAGAGAAAAATTTCGATCGAGATAAATTTGGTATACAATTCTTTTTAGATATTCTTAAACAACACTTCAAGTAATATAAAACAAAGATTTCAAATAAATTTTAATATTATTTATTTATTTTAGTACAACAAAAGGTGATAAAGAGGAACAACGTGAATTACGTGATATTATTTATGAAATAATGAAATATTTTTTTCAAAATCATACTTCTATGAAAGATTTAAATGCATTACTTTCGACAATATCTGTATTATCTGTATTAAATGATGAAATAACATATGAATTACTTGAATTTATCGTTGGTTTACTTACTCCAACATCGCCATTTCATGAACAAACAATTGATTTCCTATGTGAATCAAATATGATTGAAGGTTTATATTCACTTTTAGTTGTGAATAATTTATCAAGTCGAACAAAAGAAATAATTTTAAAAATAATGAAATGTTTTATTGGATCAAAACGTACATCACAACAAATACGAGCTCAATTAAGATTAGAAACAAATCATATTGGTTTTGGTGGTATTATATCTGGAATAGCACTTCATGAAATAAATGAATCGATTGTTCAAGAAATTCTTAATTTAATCATTTCATCTAGTATGTTATTTTATCAATTTTATTAAAAATCAATATTTTCATTTATTTTAAGATTCAGCAAGTGCTCTTCATCATCTTAATATTGTTTTAACACTTTGTAGTGCTGCATCCATTAATGTTCGTCATATAGCGATGCGTAAAGTAAGTAAAAATATTAAAATGATATTTATATGTTCCTTTTTTTATGTCTCATAGCTAATGACCTATTTTCTAAATCATCCAGCAGCATGTCGTTTGTATGCGAAATGTCATGGATGGCAAGAAACTTTAGCTAACTTTTTTGTTAAAATGCGTCGTTCAAGTTTAGGACCGTTAATGAATCAACATCATAATTCATCTCCAAATCTGCTATATTCATCAACAAGAAATCTAAGTCTTAATTTGGGTCAAGAATGTTCAAAATCTTTGGATATGAATAATGAAAATCAACGTCGAACATCAGCACCACATTTGGATATAGCAAGTTTACATGATCTATCACCAGAAAAACCTATTTCATTATCAGTAGAAGATATAGCAACTAATGTAGATCTAATACAGTTCGAAACACCTTCCGAACAATGTTTAACATCAAATTCTACTGATAAATCAATGGATGTTTTAACTAATACAAAAGATACAACTACAGATTTACATTCTTTATCAAATGAAATAATAATAACACCACCATCATCAAATTTCGGTAGTAGAGAAGATCTTATATCATTACTTAAAACAGAAAATTCAAATGAAAATCTTAATGAGATGATGAAAAATGATAATAATAATTTAACAACAACAACAACATTACAACGAACAAGTACCAGTACAAGTATGCCACAACTCTATGATGATAAAGAAAATATTAGAGAGTATAATCAATTTAGTTGTGAATACAGAAATTTTCTAGGTTGGCTCATTGCTTTAGTTTGTAATGATATCAAAGCTTTGGGTTAAAATTCTTTCTAAACTAAAACTATCAACTATTTAGCTAACTGTAGAATGATACTGAATGAATTTAATACGGATTGTGACTAATGCTTTTTATAATATTATCGTTTCATATGTATGTATATATATTTATTTGTTATTTAAGGTATAAAAAGTACTGATGATTCATCATTGTATATGCAATCATCTATTAACATTTCCATAGTTGATATTCTTGAAGAAATGTGTGAAACATTAATTTTAGCAATTGTTATGATTTTATGGAAAGGAATTGTTGATTCTGATGATACAGCTTGGACGGTTTGTTATTTTCTTTATTTCATTATTTTTTTATGCAATTAATTTTTTTAAAGAGTCGCGGTCAAATCTTCTCAGCTCTTCGACATCTTCATCGTGAACATGATTTATATTTACCATTAGATTATATTGAACGACGTATTTTGGAATTAAGTATGGAAGCCTGTCTAGATGATATTAAATTAGATAAAGGTATGAATTAAATCTTATGAATTTAAATTGATTTTTTCTATTAAAAAAATAAACGAAAGTAGAACATTCTCATGATCGTCTCTATCGACGACGTATTAGTTTAACTGGCATACGTAAGTAATCCATAACAAAAATCCTATTTGTGCTTCACTACTAAATGTTATTAACGCTTAGAATTATGATCAGTAAAAAAAATTAAATTGTTTCTCTTTTGTTTATTTCAGGTAGACAAACACCGATCTATGAAAATAATTGTCGTGAATTAATAAAACTTGTTAATGATTTTCTTTCACAATCCACTGAAAACAATGAACGAATAACAGAAAATTTTGTTAACGGTATGTTTATATATATAAATACAAATTAACTCATGTTTTTTTCTTTTCAAGGTATTATTCCAATACTTGATATAATGCTTATGTTAAAAATCAATGATAATACTAATCAATCGATGAGTGCATATATTTCTCATCATGATCATTATTCCGAAACATCATTAACTGGTCTTAATATTCTTCTTATTCTTCTTGCTCATCCAAATCAAACATTTTGTAGTCAAGCTTGTAAACGTATTTATGCATTATTAAAATCGCGATCATTAAATGGACGAGAAGAAGCAGCTTATTTATTATCAAAAGTAAATCATATATTTTTATCGAAATTAAATGCTGAAGATGCAGAACAACAAACATATTTATTATCGCTAATGAAATTAATTATGGAAAAATCTTTTGATTTATTAGAAATGCAAAAAGAAATTTCAAATATACCATTTTGTCGTGAAATATTAAGTACATTTGATGATTTTTGTCAGTGTATTTTATCAATGAATCGAAATGATTGGCAAATGTTTATTCAAAAAGTTACTGAACCATATGCTGATCATTATTGTTCAATGTCTGTACGACCATTTCAAATGAATATGAAAATATGGTGGAATAATTGTCAAGCAATGATAAATATTAGTATAGTTAAACGTAATCAACAAATTGAAGCTGAAAAACTAAAATTTCAAGTAATAATAAAAAATAATACAACAATAAAAGAATAAATTCCTTTTTTTTAGACTTATATTGTTGAACCATGGCATCAACGTAGTCGTTTAGATGAACAACGAGC